CTTATGATTTTTCATGCTTTGCCTTTTATCCTTTTGTGATAAACATAAAGTGTATATAATTTACACCTCCTGAATGCTCAATATAATTTTCAAGTAAGCAGATTGGGACTCTAAAGAAATGTCAACTTGTCCAGGTTAATACATTTGCACTTTTAATCTTCGTCTTGAAACTTGCCTTCAGAACTCACTGTTTAATGAGAGGAGAGGGGAGACTAGACCTTTTGTCTTGTATTTTAGGATTGCTATTTTATACTTGCCTTTTGATAAATTCTAAGCTTGAGAGCAGACATTATGCCTTAGTTTTTCTTTGTGTCAATATTTATTTATTGTGGTGCTGGGGATTGAACCCAGGACATTGCTTGAGAAGCAGGAGGCGGAACCACTGAGCTAAATCCACGGCCCCTCTTCATGTCAAGGTTTTAAGGGTTCTACACATTACTGTGTTTGCTTACCAAGCATTGAGTGAATGAATGCATGGTGAATATGCAGTTTTCTAAGGAAACAGCAAAACAAGAACCAGTTTTGTTTTGTTTAAAGAAAGATAACAGCACTGTCTCTAGAGCAAGTATGGACTAGTTTTAGCCTCTGAGAGGATGTATCTACCTATCTTTTGTAATCTGTTATCTTCCGGGAATAATTTGTGTCTGAAGCATTGTGCCTGATAAATGCATGCCTGGGCCCTGATTTAATATTTATTATGAGCTTGCTATCAAAGTGACCTTAATGTCTGAGCATGGGGTTAGAGGGGATGGACCTTCACAATTTTAGAGAGAAAAATACTAGAGGCTGGGCGTGGTGGTTTACGCCTGTAATCCCAGCACTTGGGAGGCTAAGGCAGGAGGATTGCGATGAGTTCGACACCAGACTAGGCTACATAGTGAGTTCCAGGGCAGTCTCAACTACATAGTGAGACCCTGTCTCAAAAAAAAAAAAAAAAAAAAAAACAAAACAAAACAAAAAAAAAAACTAGAAAATATTTCTCGAGCAAATATGTTTTTACCTGGTCTCTCAGTATATTCTGTCAAGATACCCAAAAGACAAATACGCAGTTTCCTCATATCTGCAGATGATGAAATCAAACATTGAGTAGGAAAATCCTTAAAATCACAGTGATTAACTATGGATGTTGGACCTTAACTTCAAGATTGTCCAATTCTAAAACTCACGCTCTTTTCATACTCCCATTTTTTGGTAATTGGTAAGTTACCCCTACTAGATTTAAACCCGATGGGTTTCCAATTCATTTTTTTAAATTTGAAATTATGATCTTTAAATGTTGGTAGCTAGGAATAAAATGTAAAATGTATGTAACTAAATTAAAATAGGGTTTTACCATTTTTGGTACTGGGGATCAAACTCAGGACCTCGCACTTGCAAAGCAGGTGGCAGCACCACTGAGCTAAACCCCCAGCCTGAAAATAGGATTTTAAATGGTTTCATCCTAGCAATTAGATGTTAAACTTTATAAATGCTTATCTCAGATGCAGATTCTTTGCAGTCTAGACTTTGTTTAACAAGTAAAGGCTCCTCAGATGAAGTAGAAATTTATTAAGGATACCTTCTTCTTTTCTTCCGAACCTTGAAACCGGTGCTGGTGGTGACCCTAGTGCACACGTGGTGCAGCCAGCTGTTATCACTGAAAGCTCTCAAAGGTTCACCAGTACCGCTTTAAACTCTTCAAGGGCAGATTCCTTTCATATGTCTGTGTTTCCAACAGTCCCTAGCCCAGTGCCTTGTACTTAATAAATGTTTATGAAGTTGTATGGAATTAATAAATTAAAGATTGACTCACATGAGCAATTTTATTTCCTTAAAACAAAGAGTCAGGAAATAAGCTCCAACTCTCCTGCTGCGTGGCCCCTCTTCCATTCCATTGATTGTCAGTAGGTATTCTTATTCTGGTTTACCACCCCTGCCAACACACACTGTTCTTCTGTGCATGCATTTTTTAAAAGGGACCCAGGGTTTTCCTTTTTTAGTACCGAGGATTGAACTTGGGACCTTGTGTTTGCAAAGTGGTGGCAGCACCATTGAGCTAAGTCCCAGCCCTGTTTTCTGTTCTTTGTTTTTTGAGGCAGGGTCTCCCTGTGTAGTTCAGGCTGGCATCAAATTCACAGCAATCCTCCTGCCTCAGCCTCCCATACTGGGATAACAGGCATGTGCCACCATGCTTACCTGTAGAAGTTTATTATAGATATGCATATAAACTGCCATAATCATACAAAAACATTACTTTCCTTAAAAACTCATACTGACAGGCACAAGGGCAGGCACATTAGATTTGGTATTTGCAGTTATTTATTGTACATATGAGTGAATCTGTATGTATAATATGTTCCCATTTAGGGAGTTGCTAAATTAAATATGGTTAATTTTCAAGATAGGGCCTTCTGGAACAGCTATTGGTGGTAGAAAGAGATAAAAAAGATAAGATTGGTACTGCTGTTTGATAAGACAGCCGCCATAGCGTATCCTGTTTCTGCTACCAAAGAATTCCGTTGATTTTATTATTCAGATAGGTGGTTTATTGTTTCATGATACCATTTGGGGTGGTGTCTTTTTTTTGGGGGGGGTACCGGAGACACCCCAGCCCTGAGGTGGGTTCTTAATAACATCTGGAATCCTAGTAGTAGTGGGAGCTATATGAATTCCAGGGCTTAGAAAATTGAGATATCTGCAGTAGAACAGTGAAAGCAGCTGCAGTTACAGATATTATAAGAGAGGAGGGCAGGGGTTTTGGCTCAGTGGTGCTGCCTCCTGCCTGGCATGCACAAGGTCCTGAGTTCAATCCCCAATAACAACAACAACAAAAAAGGACCTAAAATTGAAGTGCGTGTGAACAAACACCTTTAGTTTGTGGATCATTTCAACCTGTGAAATGGAACTGAATGTTCCCAAATCTGACAGACCACTGTTGTCATTAATTGAGGATTTCAGTGTTGATATTTGTTTGAAAGACTTGAATCTTTCGTTTGGTGACCATGATAGACAATTTCCCTGCAGTATAATTTTGTAGATGTAAACTGTGTAAACTGCTTATGGAGAAATGGGAGGGATGTGAGAGAAAGAAGAGGAAAAGAGAAGAACTAGCATGAAAATAGACAAGATGGTAATATTGGAAAGTGGAAAAAATATTTTACTTTCCTGATGTATATCTACCCCTGAGTCCTCTAGCCTTCCTGAGGTTTCTTCCCTTTCTTCATGCACTGTCTCCCACCCAGCCCCCTGTGGACATACACATACATAGAAAGACTAGAAGAGGCAACACTGAAGTGACGAAAAGAACACAGAAAAAAGGAAAGCAAGAATAAGGAAATCTGATTTGACATTAGCTGTCTGACTTAAACAAGTTGCTTAAGACTCAGAAGATTGCATTTCGATAAATTAAAAATTCAGTGAGCTAAATGATAGCTTTTGGTTTTCTGCCACAATCTTTGGAAAGCTTACAATTTTAGTTTTAGAACATAAATGGTTTCTTTTTCCAGCTGCATTTTTCTGATCATGTTTAACATGGCTTTTTTGTTTTTTTGAGACAGTCTCACTCTGTAGTTCAGGCTGGCCACAGATTCACTATGTAGTACTGGGATTACAGGCATGCACCACCCAGCCTGATTATTTTTAACAAATGCAGATTAAATCAGTTACAGAAACTTGAACATTGTTTTCTTACACGGAGCTATACTGTGAGGAGGCAGTCTGGTAGAGGTTTAAGAACTGGAAATAAAACTTTGAAACTACTACATTTTGTATTGATTTTAGTGCATTGAGTATGAGAGGAATGCACAAGTAGTAGGGTTCAAAAAGAAGGCTATTTGTGGATACTTGGGCCCTATTCAGATGCCTCAGTCTGTATACAGTTATGTTGACAAGAGAAATGTTTACTTAATGATTCTGAAATTTAAAAGCTCAATTTGAGGATCACAGAGTTGATTCTACCTTTGAGTACTTCTAAGCACAATCTGTCATTTTGGGAATGTTACGGAAGCAGAACCTTTTCAGGTTGTGGCAATGATTGATAAAACTTCTTAATCTCAGAATAGTGGAGCCACTAAATTATAGAATTAGAAGAAACATTAAAAACATCTAACATTCACTTGTATATATCATCCATGCAGTTTTTGTGCTACAATAGAAAAGTTACGTAGTTGCAGTAAAGGATATATGACCCAGCATGCTTAAAATATTTTCTCCCTGGCCCTTTACAAAAAAAGTTTGCTGATTCTTGAATACCCGTATGTCAAACCTATCATTTGGGGCTGGGGATTTAGCTCAGTGGTTCGGTGGCCTGCCTTGCAAGCACAAAGACCTGAGTTCAATCCCCAGTACAAAAAAAAAAAAAAAAAAAAAAA